ATCTTTGCATCTTTGTGTTGTACAAGATGCACTTCAATTTATTAATAATAATATTTATTAAACATTAAGTCACCTCAACAGAAAGAATCTAACCGCATTCTCAACATAATGTCATTAAGGAGAGCCTCGCTAAACTATAACTGGTGTTTGTAGCAGGTATGCTTTCAAAAAGTCGCGCTGATATTTGTTTATTGAATTCATTATAAGGTCCTCTCATAGGTAACTTTTATAACGCCCTTGATATGTGAACATTTTGGGATCCTTTTGGGATACTTATAAGGCTTAGCGAAAGGTTGGCGGCAAAAAAAACGCAGCCCCCTATCTGCAATGAAAAACTCTGATTTTTAAATCTATAGTATTACAACAATCTCACACGGTTTCTTTTTGGGACAGGCGCTTTATCAGTCCCCTTCACATTTTTGCAGAATGTAGAGCCAGACTCGGGATTTTCGATTTTATGACGAGTATGTAACATGCTTAATATCAAATATCGATTTCACGCCTATTGTTTGGCTTTCACATGAGTTTGGTGGATGACTTCATTAAGCTGACTTTTAATTTCAACGATTCTATTATTCCTACTTAAATATTTATGTGGCTACCTGTCTGCTGTACACGTTCGGCCCAATCCATAAGCTCGTACGTACTGTTTTATTCGTCTGCTACTTGCGTGCAAAATGATCCCTTGGGTGCAAGAGCCAAATAAAGTCAATAAAATGCGCTGCCATGGCGTCGTTGGCGTGAAAGGAAACAACAGCTCGGTCAGGACTGTCGGACTGAATTGACCAGACAAGCAGGCTACAGGCTTCCATCGAGTAAGAACACAATGGCGGACAAGCTGCTGGGTAAGTGCAGAGAGGGACAACGCAAATGGTAAGAAAGGCTTGGAGAGATAAGTATAAAAAAAGAAAGAACGCAACAGTCGAACAGTGGATGAGACTTGAAACAAAAGTAGGTAATAGATTGCGTGTGCAAAGTTTGGACGGAATGTGGACGGTACTGACGAAATTCTGTGGCGGGGAGAAGAGGGGGGAATTTAAAAAAATTAAATAAGCTCGTGTTGTTTGCCAAGTTTGTGCTCAGCCGTTTCCGAAATCCAGGCGTTTATCCAGACGGACAGACGGATGGGCAGACCAGATCGATTCGTCTGGTCATGCTGATTAAGAATAAAATATGTGGGTTTTAATACAAATTAGATAATGTATTTGGAATATTGTCTTGTGGTTAAAATAAAAAGAAAGCACAGCACTTCCGCGAACAACAATTCAAACTGGCCTTGGCAACAACTCTCTATCCACACACTCTAGCAACTTTACTCCAGCAACACAACTATTCTCCTTTCGTGTTCGATTCTCAAGCCTATCCATAATTTCCGATGCGGTACTAGGCCAGGGTTGCTAGTAGGGCATTCTACTCTCGCATTCTACTACTCACATCCCACAAATATATGTACAAGTATTTATGGGGTCGGAGATGCCTCCTTCTGCCTCCCTGTTACATACCTTGCACATCCACAAACTGCGTCATCAAGTTCGCTCCTTAGGGGAGAAGGTTTGTCTGGGTACAGGGTATTCCACTGTCGGGCTTGCTCGACTGTAGCGTTCTCTCTTGTTTATTAAGATTTTATTTGTTTGGCTTTTTGAAGTATTTAACACGTATATAAATATTCTCTACATACTCGAAGGTACAGAGTATTTGAAAATCGTGGCATCCGACCTTAACTTTTCTACTGGTTGCTTCTGATTCTAATCGTTCTTCTTCTTCTTTTTGCTTCTGCTAGAGGCGCATTTAACTCAGGGCCGAAAGTTTGTCTGGGTACAGGGTATTTCATTGGCGGGCTTGCTCGACTGTAGCATTATATCTTGTGCCATTATTTTTGTGCAAGAGCCGACCAAAGCGAGAAAACGATGCCCACACATTAAAGGGTGTTCATCAATCAATAAAATTATTCGACTCGACTTAATTGAACGCAGATTCGCGTCAGGCTGGATTCACAAAGCTGGGGGCTATGTGATAGCCGTGCTTCCCACGCACTCGGATTGCTGTGCAGAAGAACAAACATTCATTTGCACACATTGAAGGCAGCATCCATGTATTAAGTACAAGTATACTATATATAGCATACGAATCGAATTGCATCAGAGCTCTCAAATGGTTTTTCTTCAAATTTATTTGAGCGCAGCTGTTGCTGCTGCTCTGCATTTCCCCTTCTTCCCGCCTGCTACCTGCTTGTCTTAGCCGATTGCCATTTGTTAGCGCTATCTGTCTGTTCCTGAACTGATTGCAGGCCCTGCAAAAGTCTGTTTGTTCACATGTCGCACATTAACTTTGCAAATGTCTCAATAAAATCAATATAAAAAATATGCTGTGCTTTATCACGGCGATGGATTTTCCCACAGCTAACAAGGAAAGCAGTACCAACATCGCAACATCAGCGACAGGAGCAAAGCAGCATCGAAAACAATATGCAATACTGTATTCGTAAACACTGAGCTATAAAATACAGGTCTTTACTTCCTTTTGAATTAAAAGAAAAACTGTGGAGACAGATGGTGAGGATCAGGGTGAATTTTATTATTTTTTCATTATTATATGAAGAAGAAGAGTAGAATTAGAGGCGCAAACGGGTCATTTGATGGCAGTTGTTGGTTGACGACTTACTCCCGACAGTACCAACCACGTAGTTCCAGTTTTCATAGCCACAACTCATATGCGAAAAGTTTGGGTAAAACATTTCTCATGTCCAAAACAATTTTTGTTTGGATTTTGTTTTTCAAATGAAACTAATTAAATAATATTAATAAAATCAAAAACACCTATAACCTAAAATAAAGTCGTGCAGTTTCAATACAATAAATTAATCTCATATATATATATATAGTAATATATATAGTCATATAGTACAGTAACAGTAACTCATGCTTGACCTTGCATTAGGCTATATGCGCTCAATCTCAAAAAGGTGAATCGTATGAAAAAAATGTTGATACAAAAGTTTTCGTGAATTTTATGACCTTTGACCTTTCGCCGTGAATATCTTAAGACGCGGGCACGATATTATATGATACTTTTGAGTCAACATATCGAACGTCAAAACAAAGGTGTATACTAATTTTCAGCTTATTATCACAAATTCCGTGGTTGACCTTTTTTTTGCCTACGACGACTGGGCTATGACAGCAGATAAGACTAGGGAGGTTCAAGGAGAAGACTCAAGAAGATTCTGCCATATCTTCTAGTAACTCTTAGTATAAAACTGGTTACGAGTGGCGTGTTCGTATTATGACATAAGACACTTTCACGTTCCAAAAGCTTTTGGCTTTTTTTTTTGCTATTATTTTTGTTTGGCTATTAATCAGACTTTAAAGTTACGACTTATCTTACCTTAATAATAAGAGTGACGGGCGATATTTATGCACATATTTAAAAAAAATTGTATATCTTTATAATTTTATTACCACCAAATCCACTTTCTAAAATGTATTTTAATTTAATTCATATATGATCTATTTCAAATTCTATTAAGAACTATTAAATATTATTATTCTTATAAAATATTCTTATAACAGTATACAAATTGAACAACGAATTTAAATAAGGTACATTGTAGATTATCGATTACACAAAGACTAAAATATTTTCAAGTATCAACATATCTAACTTTACTCTAAACATTAATTTTATATTTTCAATTATAGGGTATCTAATCCCAGTTTTTCTTACATTAATATGTGATTTAGTTTAATGTAAAGCTTTGATCAAATATATTTGTTTCTTACATTTTCGTGCATTTAAATAATTATTTTACTCACACTCGTAGGTAGAGTGTTTCAAAGTCGAGGCGCCCGACCTTAGCATTTCCGCTTGATGTTCAGTTGTCTGTATGAGTTCCTGAATGCATGAGTGTGTGCTTTTTAAAAAGTTTACGGAATAGTTTCGCATACTTTGCGCCCTCATTTTGCTTATTTAGCTTGCACACCTGAAACTATGCTCGCTTTATTTAATAATTAATACTTAGTATACTACTTGGCATAACACTTTTTGGGTTCATCACGTAAATTGACTTCAAGTGGCAAGTGAGTGGAGCTGCATCTTAACATGTTCCTGGGCTTGCTACTACGAGCTAATAGAACTCGTATAATATTATTATATAATTTATCAAGAACGATAGGCGCATTCCCAGGACATCGAACGTGACCGTCGCGACGGTCGTGACGGTCGCTATTAATTGAATTGAATTAGTTTCATTAAAAAAAAAAACAATTATGTGGTTTTTTGGAAGTGGGAGTTTCTTGTTTTATTTTTATCGACTGTCATCGTCTTCAGCACTTCATTCTCTTTTTGTCATAGATCCCATCTCCACACACCCACAACATAATCGTTTTTTATTTTTTTATTTTAGCTAGTCTTAAGTAGTAATATTTATGAGTTCTCAAAACGTCAATTTCAAGTTCCCGAGGGCATTAACAGCCAAAACCCATGAAATATTCGCCTCTCTTGGGTCTGACTTTTTGAAACACTTAAAAGGAAATTTTGAAATTGTAGGATTACATGTGCAACGTTTAATTTATATAGCTTTAGAGCTGTAGAGAGTTGAAACGAAACTGTTGCTGGGGAAGGGCAATTACCTTACTAAAAAAAAAAAATAATAATCTTTTTTAATACCAAATGCTTTTTAAGCTCAAATCGCTTTAACACTTATAATTGGCATCACTGTGCAACCATCTGATGATTTAATGACGCCATCAAGGTTCTATTTTCTTTTTATCAGCCACATTTAGCAAATACAGAAAGCAAACCCGTGTTTTGTTTTAAATTTGGCATTTGTTTGCATAATCGCACATACCATATTTATGTACATGAAAGAGCTCCGTCCATATGCGTATTGAACCACAACGTCTATGGGCTCTATTATTTAGTGCCTCAGTGTTTTCCGTTTCATAGCTATAAAAAGACAAAGTTTCAAAACGAAACTATGACTTCGGGAATCGATTTTGAAAATGAAGCACTTCAGATTTCTAACCCTGCTTGCTCTGGCGCTACTTATGCTCAGCCAAGTAGCATCAGCACAAGATTCGTCCAACTCTCCGACTACGCCTGACTACGCCGATACTGATTCCGGGGATGAGTCCTCCGACACTAATGCTGATTACACCATCACCGATGCTGAGCCCACCACACCTAGCCAAGAGTCATCTGTCACTGAAGACGATACTGGAGTAACGGAAGAAAACGACAGCGACTCTATAACACCTACTGGAGGAGGCGATAGTAGCAATGGGGACTCTGGCACTACTCCTCGCAGTGGCAATCGTCGCGGTGCTAATCGTCGTGGTGGCAATCGTAGAGGTAGTCGTGGTCAAAACCGCCGTGGCAGCAATCGCCAAGGTAGCAACAACAGTCGCAACAGGCGCAACAATAATAGACGTAGCAGGGGCACCAATAATCGTGCCAGTAGCAGAGCCAACAACAACCGTAGAAATAATAGGGGCAGCAACAGAAACCGCGGTTAAATATTGAGAATAACCTTTATCTCACACAACGAATAAATAAAACAAATTGGCAAAACAATTAAAGCAACGGGATTAACTGGAAGTAGATAAGTAGAATAATAAAATTCTTGAATTCTTCCCGAAATGCTCACAAATTACTTAGGCTAAGTCAGCGAGATAACCCTATATTGAGTTGGTTGGCTAGCCGAAAAATTGTTCAAATCACAGACTATTTTGGTACCTATTGCCGCTTGGAGGCGTTTCGTCCATCCAGTAACCTCTATATTTACCAAAACACCACTTAGACAAGAAAATACTATTTCCAAATGGTGTCCAAAAAGTAGTGAAGGTGGGGTGACGGTGTTCCTCATTTTGCAGGCTCACTAAAACAGCATAACATCCATTGGGAATGCCGTCCTTGGAAAATATACCTGTAGTAGTGGTTTCGGGAGCCCATTACCTATGTGCCATTTTATTGAAAATCGCGCACTTGGAGCACCTTCCATCTACCGCCTCCTCCACCGATTTTTAAAAAGGGTATATTAGGTTTGTAACAAGCAAAAGGAAGCATCTCCGAACCCATAAAGGCTGTAAATAATCTTAGTCAGCAAGATGAAAGATATTGATTTGGACATGTCTGTCCATCCGTGCGGGTGGATTACCGCCATATTAACATCTGGATCTCAGAGATTATAATAGTTATAGACAGCAAATTTTGCCCCAAGGTGCCCTAGATGAGTAATGATATGAGAAATGTTTTCTCTTTTCCCCCACCCCCCGCTATTGAAAATTTTCCATAAATCCCGTAATTCTTGGAATTCTATTTATATAAAACAGTTTGTCCTGGCTGACTGATTGGTGATCAACGCTCAGCCCAAACGGTAAAATTTGTGCTCAAATATCCCTTCATAGTGAAGGTGGGCGATAAGAAGCGGTTTTAGAAAAAAGTGGAAAATAGGCTCCAAAGTTTGGATAAAAAACCCGCATTTTGGGAGTTTTCCTGTAAAAAAATGTTGGGGCACAAAAGGAAACAGCCCACAGCCCAAACGACAAGAGCTAGGGAGCTGATTATTGGCCTCAAATATTATAGTATAGTGGCGGTACGCACTAAGAAGGGGTTTTGGAAAATTCATATTCCAAAGAGGGGAAAACGAGCTCCACATTTGTTTAAAAATCAAATTAAACCACCTTTAAATTTGATTTTTACAATCTATGAAAGAATACAAGAAAAACTGCATACCGGAAATTTGTCTTGGAGCTTGAATTATTGGGGTTTTTTCATATTTCTTCACTATTTTTGAAATGAAAAGTTTGTTTTATAAATGTTGTCTGATCGATTTCAAATTTGGGGTACATAATCAACATAACTACTTGTATATCTTCAAATTGGCATTCAACGATTTTCGAACTATATATGTATGTATGTTTTTCAATATACATATGAATGCAGCAACAATAAATAACAAAGCTCGCAAATATCAAATAGTTGGGGACTGACATTCAGACACACACGCATTGACAGACATATCAAATAGAGATAGATTCAGAAAAGACACGAACGGGAAAATGCAATAAAAACAATACGACCAAAATATTTGTTTTTAAAATTTTTTTGCTCATAGTCTATCTTAAAACGTTGCGTTATGCATACTTGTAGTATGTATTTTATTGTCGAGAAAAGCCATAAAATAAATAAAAATTTTGAACAAATATGTTAATGTATGTATGTAGGTCCTTAAAATTGGACTACCATATGCAACATGTGTACATATATCCACATTTTGTTGATATTTCGATTTTCAAAAATACTCTGCGTATTCATTCACCGTGCATGTGCGTTTGGGTTTTCTTTAAAGCCAATTACGTGAAAATGCTATGACGGGCCGAAAAAGCTGCTCGCATATTTAGAGTTTTCATTTAGAGTGTCATTTAGCAACAAGCCCTTTCTGTGAATGTATTCTTGCGATGTACAACAGCGGAAAGTTGCAATTCACAACATTCTTAAACACATATTACTACTGAATTGCAAACTTGAATAAATACAAGTATACATACATATGTACATACACACATACATATTTACATATGTAGGGCCTGCATGAATCAATTAAATTTATGTACCGACATATTAAGATACAAACATATGTTCATATACATATATAGTATATACTCTGTATGTAGAAACTTGTAGTTACAATGTATATATTTATCAGATTTTATATGTACACCTACATATGTATGTAATAGTTGGTATGATAAAGCTGCATTTCTCAACCCATTTTTATACCCTGTACCCCAAGGGTTGAAAGGGTTAGTTAGTTAGTTAGAAGGAGACGTGCCAGACCCCAAAAAGTCGATAGCCATGTCCGGCTGTCTGTCTGTCTGTATGAACGCAAGGATCTCAGAAAGTATAAGAGCTATAATAACCAAACTTGGTATCCAGATCCAGAACCACTATATGTAATTTTCCATGTCTTCTGTAATTCTGGCAGTTTTTAACTAATCCCGATAGTTATTATGTGTCCGTAGCTTAAGTTTAAATTGTTAAACCTGGTAACCATCTTGCGCGCTACAAACGAGCCTTTGCCAAAAGATGAGGTCTTTAGCGTGCTTTAAGATGAAGACATGGACGAAGATTCTCGAGCCTGGGTTAAAATAAAGGTTACAAAGTTATTAAAAAAAACACAAGCACTGGGCGATGATAAGATGATGTTTTGAAAGTTTTGGAAAATGAAGTGGAATCAGGTGGAAGTAGCTCTGGAATCAATCCTCCCTCTTCTGAATGTATACCTTTCCAAACGTCAGCTGACGCCTCCGATTCCGAATTAGAGAAGTTACCGAAGAGAAGAAACGTAAAATATGCTAAACGCATACGGGTTGAGTTATTCGAAATATAATATTAAAACCAGAAGGGTAAAAGGATATAGCAAAAAAGAAGAAGTAGATCGAACTTTATGCTACAGCTTGTGTACTGGTGTGAACTTGTTTTGCTTATAACTTTTATTAGAATTAGCCGATTTAAATGAAGTTTAAAATTAAAGTAGGTAATTGCATATCAATTGTGTGTACAGAGCTTGGTTTACGTAGTTTTGGAAATTCTGTATCATGGAAAGAGGGGAAATCAAAAAATTAAATAAACTCGTATAAATTAGGATAAGGATGACGAGCATGTGCACACACGAAATACAGGCGATCATCCAGACAGACGGACGGACATATCTAGATCGATTTCTCTTGTCATGCTGATTCAGAATATATATACATTACGGGGTCGGAGATGATTCCCTCGTCATGTCACACACTTTGCACAAACCTAATATACCCTTTTTATCCTACGGGTACAGGGTATAATAGTTATACATTTTCTTGTTGGTTTTCTTGAGAGTGGGAATTTAAGAGTTGAGCCTGCTTGAGTACACATACTTTTAGTATTGTGTTTTTTTAAAGAGTGGGTTTAGGGTATTTAAGAATTTCGCTGGCTCAACTCTTGTTTGGTACCCTTCTGTGTTATTCCTCACCACGATCGGTCGTTGGTAGTAAAAAAAAAACTAAGTTGCTTTAGTTAGTATGGTTAAGTTAAGTTAAGTTAAGTTAATTATGGAAAAGCGAAGCTAATATTCGGTGTTTTTTCCTTCTTTACAGTCATACGTTGCCGGATTCTTCTGCTAATGCCCCGAGCGAAACGACTTCACGATCCAGGACTTGAGTTGGAAACAAGGGGCGACGCAGGGCTACGGCCATGATGCGTCTGGCCAAGCTCTCGTACGGGCTTACATTCAAAAATGGTGCTCAGAAATGCGCAGAGCAGCCTCCGAGTGGCAAATGCCAGCCAGCGCTCATGGGCAAGGTTGTGTTTGGGTGGGGTGTGGTGGTGTGGTGTGGTGCGGTGCGGTGTGATGTGTGTTTGGACGATCCAGTGCGGCTGTCGTCCTATTTGTGGGGAGAGAGAGAGTGGGGAGCTTTACTAATTATAAAATATCTACAAATTTTATTTTACAGCGCCACAGCAGCGGCACCAGCCGGAGCAGCATTGGCAGTATTGGTAACGGTCTGGCGCAAAACAATAGCAACGGTCACGGATCGGCAGTAGAACCATTAACAGGTGGTGTGGCACAGCACATCAGCACGACGCAGGAGAAGCGGTTGGACGGCAGCAACAAGAGCAGTAAGAGCAGCCGGTGTAGCCGGAGCAGTAACAGCAAACTACGAAAATCAAAGCCAAAGACAAAGTGCTTCGGTGGCACAGTGTTTCGCTGTTGCCTACCTTGTCGCGGGGGCGGCTCCGCAGCCCCCGCCACAAGTCCGTCTCAATCGCCCGTGCAGACAACGGACGACTTGAAGCAGCTTTCCGAGAATAAGCAACAGCAGCAGCAAGGCGGCGACTTAGAACAACAATCACCACAGGAAACGCTCGGAGATCTCGAGTCCGGTTTGGTGACAGGTGAAAAAAAACACTCGCTGGCCGACACAATTGGCACCTCTGTGACCACGCCCATTTCTCTTAAAACGCTCATCAACGACGTTGATGAGGACTTAGAACAACCGCTTAGTGCCGCAGATATTGCAGCCGCCAGCTTGTCCAGTGGCATTGTAGCGCGTCGCGCCGAACCCGAAACCCTCAGTGACGCCAGTGTCTCACCCACGGCAGTGGTACTTCAAGTAACTACAGGCAGTGCGCCACAAAACGCTCTGAGCTTGCTCACGACCAGTGTGAGCAACACCACAGCATCGGGTGGCGCAGGTGTAGCAGGAACGTTGCTGTCGAATAAGCCCGTCTCGCCAACGCCATCGCCGTCGCCCAGTCCTACGTCTTCAGCACCACCGAGCAGTGCCTCAATCCACAACACCACACAACAGCAAACCAGCTCCAGCAGCAATCAGTCGAGCAGCAGCACCAGCACCAGCGGCGGCGGCGGCGGCGGTGGCAGTGGAACGGGTGGTGCAACGTCAACACGTTGCAGCTGTCAACCACAAACCTCTCCCCTTCCACACATCAAGGAGGAAGAAGAATCCGAACAACACTTGGCCAATAATAAGCAACAAACAGGCACTGAGACAGCTGGCTCGGAACAGCAAGAACAACCACAAACTACTATAACTGTAGGCTCCGTTGGCAACTATTGTGGCAGCTGTGAGAGTGTGCATCACTCCTCCGGAACCTCGTCGTCGGCCACCGGAATTACCGGGGCTACCGAACGCAGCGGTCAAGCCCAGATTGATTATACAAGCGCTTCAACACCATCGCCGCGCATTAAGCTAAAGTTTCGCAAGCCCCACAAGTCCTGCTGGTCACGCATTGTACTTGCGCCTATCGGTAGCACCACTGCCGGCAGCTCTTCGGCCACCGTTATCGGTAGCAACTCGAACGAGACACTCGCCTCGACCGGAAGTACCGGCAACACAAATACTAATAACAGCAGCAGCGCTAGCGTTGCCGCCCATCATCGCCTTGCCTCGTCGTCGGCCTCGGCGCTTGCATCGCATCCAAGCAACTCACAGCTACTGCCCACCAAAATGCAGGCCGAACAGGGATCTATCTGCGATCTGCAGAAATATCATAGTCGCTATCTGAAGAATCGCAGGCACACGTTGGCCAATGTCCGGTGAGTACTGCCTTGTAGCTACAAAGCAAGTCAAGAACAACATTAAATATAAGATACCCTTGCTGGGGATGGCCCTAGCTCTTGCAATAAAGTGTTTGATATGCAACCAAATCGAAGCTTAAAACAAGAACGGCTGCAAATAGATCAGACATAAAACTGAAAACTGCATGCAGGTACCTGCAAAATCTATCTTCCAACCCACTTTGCAAAGAGCGTTCAAGCCCCTGACCCTGACCTCAGACTAAGTTAGACAACATATACGACGTTGGTGCTCCTCGAAAAAACATGATTTTCAAGTTCTTTTTTTCTGTCCCATGTTATCAAGTTAGGAAACAGGAAGAAGATGCTGAGTCAGGCGAGTAAGGCGGGTGCGGAAGCAATTCACAGAGTTTCAAGCACAGCTTTACATGTTCTTCTGCCCTAAATAAAAAAAAAAAGGAATTAGGATCCGTATTGCACTTTTTGTCCTCTATTTTGTCGATAACTACAAAGCACGAAAAGAGTAATCGATGGATCAGCTTGCAATTTGGAATGGTATATCTATGTATATCTGAACAGTTAACATCTCCCAGCAAAGCCCCCTGTCGTCCAACCAGTGTTGTTACTTGTATTGGCCCTCGTTCATGGGCATATCGAATCTAGTTAGTTTTCGAAATGGATTCGATTTTGATACATACTTGTACTTATCTTAATCTTAATAAGATCTTTAGTATAGCAACTTTTGATTCCCATTACAGTTTTGTAATGTATAAAACCGATTCTGATTATGATTGGGCTGCCATAGAAACTACTGTAACATAGTTTATTGAAGTTGAAAGACAAAGAAATAAAAGTCGAGCTGACACGACTTAAGCATTCTACACTTTTTCGAATATCGCTCAAGTCTTGTGGGCGCACAAAGGGGCATTAAAAATTAGAAGCCTTAGTGGACAGTCTAAGAACTGTTGAAGGATTAATAATTGAAATGCGCGGTTGGAGGGACGGGTAAGTGAATATATATACAAGTATCGCGAACAAGATTATTCCATTAGGTTTCTATTTGGCTTGTAACTAATTGCTTTTATGAAATTATTACAGTCACGCCTTTTTCCCTTAGGCTAAGACCACCTCAGCAAGTATGCAGAGCGTGTTGCATTTAATAAATGAAACACGTTTTGCACCCCGTGGCCGGGGTTTTATTGAAAGGCAATCAACAGCAATTATCGCAGATAGATCTTCGCCACTTTCCGCAATACTCGTAGTTCTCAGCCATGTCCCATGGCTCGAAACATATTTCTTTTTCACAAATGTCTGTATTTCCGTTTTTTCCGATCAAATGGAATGACTAAATTCAGACGCACACACCTTTGCATGGTTTTCCGTCACACAAGTAATAATAAAATAATAAAAATAAGCGCTGGGTAAACAAAAGTTAATTGAAATGGATTTTTTGTACATACACGTTCGCATGTACAAGTATGTATGTACGTGTACATACCGGTATGTACTTATATTTGCACAAATGTTTTGATTTCATTGAACAACTCATTATGCCACATGCGCGTCAGTAAATTCAACAATATTTGCTTGACGGTGACAACGTGGCGTATGCGCAATTACATTGCCAATGCATTGTGAGTAGCGCCGCAAGTAAGGAAAAGGCGAAGTGGGGCATCGAGACCAGGACTCAGGGCCAAGTTGCATGCAACTACAATTTATGCCAGGCTATAAAGTTAGACTGGTTAGGCAAGGCTTAGAAGTGAGGCTGCCTCGGAAGTGCGAGCTCAGGCAATTACCGACTCACAATGAAATCAATTTGCAGTTAGACGAGTTAATCAAATTAGAAAAGTTAAGTGACAAAACTTTGTTTAGCCGCAGAGTCTAAATGGCCTTCAAACAAACGCCGAAGATGAGGTTCAAAAAGCTTATCAGAATCAGAGTCAAACGAGCAGCCGGACAGCAACAAGCTAAAGTTTTTCCGTGTGGTTTCTCTGGCAAAAGGCCCTAACAACAAACTTTCAGAAACATTGTAATAGAATTGCTCATATACACCATTTTAACATAAATAAAATGGAGTAAATCCCTTAAGCTACGGTTAAATAAATAAGCAAATAATTTGCACACAAACTTGAGTTGCTTTACAAGTAGTCTTGGGCAGTTAATTTCCATATATTTGCATATCAGTTAGTATATAGTACATAGGTCTCTTATTAGTTTTAAATAAAAATACCTTATTTTTCTTATTTATTAAATCCTAGATTGAAATAAAAATCTTAAAGTAACAGAAGTTATTGTGCTAGCATTGGCTTTCAGGGCCTTCAGCTTAAGATGATCAGATAAGTGAAGGACGGCGAGGTATAGGTTTAAGGAAAAGGAAAGATATGGACATAACAGAGGAGTGAAAACAGATGGAGTTGGGGCAGTAGGACTGCGTGTTGAAAGCAACATTTATCTAGCATATTTTCGTCAACCAACTTTAGTTGGAAAGAGAAAATCGCAAGCTTCGAATCAAAGCATTGTACATTGTGCTTCTAGACTTCTTCTCAAAGTTGGATTATGTTGCCGGTGCAATATTTGTCTAATAAAACTGCCAAGTTCTATATTTTTTACATAAAAAACATTTAATGTACATTTTTTAAAATAATGTCAAGATTAATAAAATATATTTTTCATATTTAAAAAAAAATTTTTTTAATTCAGCGTATTAATTATAGTTTATTTTTATTATAAAATGCTCATATCTACAATTTGTTACATTAATATATATCCTTCAAATAATCGTCCATATTGGGAGGAATATCTAAAAATTTGAGCATGTCTGAAGAATAATTACTAACTAATTATTTTTGCGATCTCACAAGTCTCGAAGGTACGAATCCAATGGATTTGAAGAGGCTGCCAATATATTGAAAAGATTCTCATTTTGCCGTATCCGTGAAGTTGTTCATGTGTTCAGATATCTAAATATATATATAATCCTTGTTCTTGGGCTTCCTCTGACATTTCTCCAGTTGGTAATCACTGAAATTCAATCAATATTTTACAATGTGCCAAAATTGTATGTACCGTGGGAGCTAGCTTCTTGTCAGGATATTGGCAACGCTGGCCGGCGAGTATACCCGGGCCTTATTTTAGGGAATTTTTGTTGCCTTATTGTTCCGATTGTGGTAGACCATGGGTGTTTGGCGAATTCAGCTAAAGACATAAGGGCAGAAATGCAGAAAGTGAATTTGAGCATATTGCGTGTTTCCCAGGTTTCGATAAGTAGCTTACGATTGCTATTTGGATTGTTATAAATTTTCCACAAAATATGCATAATATTAATTGTAAAAATTGACAGGCTAACCATAGCTTTAAATAAAATGCATTAGAGCCTACAATTAACCAACTGCAAAAATCAATAATATATAGAATAGCAGGTATATCAATAAATATATCAAAAGTCTTAAATGATGTATTTTATCGCATCATGTTGTACATACTATCAGTATATGTATTCTTATACAATAATTTGTCCCGACCTATTAACTGATTGGTGATCATGGCCCAGCGCAAATGGTAAGAGCTAGAAAGCTGAAACTTAAACTCAACTTTCATTCTACAGTGTTGGTGAGCAATAAAAAGGTTTGGACAATTCTGGCTCCAAAAGAGGGAAAACATCCTCCATTGTATGTTTGAAAAGTCTGCATTCTTTAACCGATCGACTTCAAAATTAATTTCAATTTGTATAATCTTAAAAGAAATACAAGATAAACTACCTTAAGTATTGTGGTTTTCCTGGGTCACGAAAAGGCAACGCGTCAACACCGCAAAGCCCAAGCGGTAAGGGCTAGGAAGCTAAAATTGTTTCACTATCCATGAAAGAATACAAAGAATACTGCATACGGCGTCCACTCCTGTTAATTTTTACTATTATAGGTCAAATGTTAAGGAAGTTATAGCCATATATGTAATCTCTGTCCAAGCTCTGCCAGCAGGTTCTACTGTTATTCCTACTTGCATTGGGACTTCATTAGGTTTTCCTTTGGGCGTGAATTATTGAAATTTCCCATGGATAAATTGGAACACGAAAGCTATGTACGAATGTATTTTCAATCAACACATAGCCCATATGGTAAGAGTTAAGGTGCTGCAATTTATACTCAAGTTTTCTTGTATAGTGTAGGCTAGCACTAAACAAGAGAGAACGCTGCAGTCGAGCAAGCCCGACAGTGTAATACCCTGTACCCAGGTAAACTGAGTTATATGCGCCCATAGCAGCAGCAAAAAGAGGAAGAAGAAGAGCGAACTTGTTGCTGCAGTTTGGTGGGGTTGTACTGGCGAGAATTTGTTTTGCTAATAACTTTTCTTAGAATTGACCGAATTGAATAAAACTTTAAAAAACAGTAGACAATTATATATAAATTATGTGTGCAAAGTTTGGTTTAGGTAGCATTTGAAATGTGGACGCTATTAACGAAATTCTGTAGCGGGGGAAGGGGGGGGGGGAAATTCCAAAAAATAAAATAAACTCGTCCTTTCTCGGACCTAGGAGAATCTGGATGCCAACTTTGGTTATTCTAGCTCTTATAGTTTCTGAGATCCTTGCGTTCATCCAGACGGACGGACAGACGGACAGACGGACGGACGGACGGACATGTCTAGATCGATTTCTCTCGTCATGCTGATTCAGAATATATATACTTTATGGGGTCGGAGATGCTTCCTTCTGCATGTTACATACTTTGCACAAACCTAATATACCCTTTTTACCCTACGGGTACAGGGTATAAAAATAAGAATTCCAATTTACTTTGAACTTGGCCAAGAAACTCCAAGAAACAATACAAGATGCCTAGCATAGCAAAAATTAATGACGTATAGTATATACAAATGCCTACATATAAAATGTACATATGTGTGCTCATTTATATATTGTGCAGTTGCATAAGGTGAATAAGGGAATCAAAAAAATGAAACAAACTCGTATAGCGTACACGCATAAGGCATCTTTGTGCAAAGTTTGATGTCAAACGGACAAACGGACAGACTGACAGACAGACAGACAGACATAGATCGACTCGTCTTGTCACGCTGATCAAGAATATATATACATTGTGAGGTCTGCACGCCTCCTTCTGCCTGTTACAGTTTTCAGCTCCCGCAAACCTAATATACAAGTACTCTTTTACATTTTATGTACAGAGTATAAAAACTGGCACAGCATCTTTGGGGTCGCTAGGTCTTATAGAACAGACGGACAGACAAACAGACAGGGCTAGATCGACTCGTCTTGTTATGTTGATCAAGAATATATATATTTCCACCTCCCGCAAACCCAATATACTCTTGTACATTTCATGTACAGAGTATAGAAATGATTTCATGTATCCTTAGTCGCCTTT